TGATTTGATAACTAATTGATGAGTGGGTGGCCAACTCTTGACTTGGTGACAATCCTTATCTTCTCTTGTCTGCCCAAAAAGTCATTGATAACGTCAAAATTAGAGCCACTTGAAAACATGAAAGTTGTAGGCAATTGTCTCAGCTTTCTTGTGTAAAACATTCAGCTCATTTGGACTTCTAGAACTCCAGATATGGCCAAAATACTGAACAATGCTCGGGCTGGAGGACAACTTCGGGCTTCTTTATTGTTGCAATAATTTGGACTTGAAAATAACATTTTTAGATCTTGGGCTCCATATGAAAGTTGTAGGCCTATGTCTTACCTTTCTATCCATATAAAGTAGACCTAAATCTGAGATCTATAGCTCCATATATGACCCAATTACCGAATAGTGTTCTGGTTTGGATTGCACCGACATCTCTTTTCTAATTTTGGTCATCTCTTTGCCCTTGCAATTTAAGTTCTTAAAGTCATCAATCAATCCTTTTATTTATGTGATAGGCCTGCATTTAAAATGAATATTTACCATAAATTAAAGGTATCTTATATTATTATAAAACATGCTTTAGTTAAGGAGTTATTGATACTTCAAGTGCAAAATGATAATATAAAACCATGATAAAAATGCACTTTTAAGTACTAATCACCGCTCAAGTAATGGAGGATACAACTCTATTTTGTTTCTTTGCAGATAATGACCCACTTAGCTTCAATGAAGCTATCATAGAAGAGAAGTGGATAAAAAGAATGGATGAAGAAATACATGCCATTGAGAAGAATGATACCTGGAAGCTGACTTATCTACCAAAAAACAAGAAAGCAATAGGTGTTAAATTGGTCTATAAGACAAAGAAGAATGCAAAAGAAGAAGTGCAAAAATACAAAGCCATTGAAGGAAGAAACATTTATCAGAATGAAGTTCATGCTTGGCATGACATCCCTCGATTGAGTTTAAGGGGGAGATTTGTTGAAGTAAACTCAATCCAGAAGGTCAAGGAAGGCAGCTACCAGCTGTCACTGCCCAGCCACCAACCGACCAGCTGTATGCCGCCAGCCGCTTTCACACCGTCGGCCACAAACCGCCTTCACACTTGAAGGTTGAATTTTCTTGTTTTGATTTCGTGTATAAATAGATAGCTGAGCTTATTCAATTATGTGTGGAGAGATTGAGAGAAACACTAGAGAGAAAAAGAAAAAGAAAGAGGGGTTGTTATTGTAAACTTGTCATTATTGTAAATTTGTTATTTTTGAAATAAAAGAGTGTGTTTTATCCTCTCCGAGTGTTTCAAAGCTATCACAAATAGTTTCTCCCACCAACACATATATCAGTAGGAAAATAGACACAAAATACAGCAACGGCAGAGGCAAAGGATCAGTCGAAACGACGATGGCGTTTCATGGCGATGACAAGATGGAAGAGGACTCTGAATCTGCGGTGGGACTGGGCGGTGAAGTTGTGGAATGACTCCGCGACGAACAAATGAATACTGAGGATAAGGAGCCCAAACAATTTGAGTAATCATGGTCCTGTAAATCATGTTGGCGTGCAAAAAGAGGCACAACCGCAAACCTACCAAGCTCTTCTCGAAAAGTTTGTCTCGCACTGACGTAGAGGTTAGACTGAGCGCCCCTACAAGATGTCTACGCTTTTTCCCAGAGCTTGAAGGGAAAAGTGCAATCGAGTCCCAGGCAATAGATGGTCTTGGGAAACAGTGGTCCTTTATGCTATCCGTTGGCAAAGGTGGAATCCCTCCTAAACCTGTTATCACGGGACAGTGGTCCTTTATGCTATCCGTTGGCACAGGTGGAATCCCTCCTAAACCTGTTATCGCGGCACAGTGGTCCTTTATGCTATCCGTTGGCAAAGGTGGAATCCCTCCTAAACCTGTTATCACGGGACAGTGGCCTTGAATATGTGAAGTAGAAAGGTGTCAAGATGGGTGATATCGTAACTATATTACTGCAATATAATGAAGTTGATGAAGTGCAATACAGCATTACAGTGTCCAGAAAGGTTTTCAATGTTTTGGCTTATTTGCCAAACATTCTCTCTTAGATAGCTACCTCAAGCCATGATATTTTAAAAACAATTACTGCCAATGCAATAATTCTATCAATGCTACGAATTCGACGAAGCTACTTCTATCGAAAAAAGATGAACTTCTGCTTTAAAATTTTTTTGCTGCTGTTACGTTAAGAAACTTGCTACTGTTTGCTGAAAAAAAACTGACGCTGCTGCTGGAAAGGTTTGTAAATGCTGCTGCCAAGGCTGGACTGACTTGTTTCTACAGCAACTACTGTGACTGTCACTGGCTGCTAGTTCTAGGAACGTGGCTTTGATTAAGAAAAACTGATGCTGGACAGCTGCTGGTGAAGTTCACTACTGCTGCCACGCGCTGCAGCGGTCACGGAGGGAGAGGGCTGGTGTGAAAAACAAATCAAAGCTGCTGTCAAAAAGGACCTAATACTAAGGCTGATTGTTTCTAAGGAGCTGCTGCTGTTACTATCAATATTAACGTACTTGTCCAAGGTACTGCTCGAAGAAGAAACGGCTGCTGGTTCAAGATTCAAGCTGCTGCTGTACTCGTCTACTGCTGCCGAAAGCACTGCTGTGTTTTCAACTTCAAATTCAAATAAAGGATACAAGGCAATGTTATTACCAGAAATATGAAAAAATATTCATAAAAAATATAGCCATGAGACAGCCAATATCAAGTCCAAAAATAGACATTTTTAGTCTCTAAAATATAATTTCAAAAAACTAATGAAAAACATCAAAACATTAAAATTAAATTTGAGATACCAAATCCAAAAATAAATTAATTTATTTTTGGATTTGGTATCTCAAATTTAATTTTAATGTTTTGATGTTTTTTATTAGTTTGAACTAATTAATACGTCATTGTCATCTTCATCATTACTAAATTCACATGAAGTTGGTAACGTGGATATACATATTTTATTTGAATCCAATCTTATTCAATTTATCTACTTTCGAAGTCTCGTTGGAGAAATTGTAACATCGTCATCTCTTAAAACCATCTAAAAATAGTGAAAGCGAGGCACATCTTTCATTTAAATTTAACATTTTTTAATTTAGAGGTATGTGATTTCACATTCATATTTTAAAGTTATGAACTCAATCAACTAAAATTATCAAAAACAGAGGCTAATTGATCGAACAACAAGTTACTTACCTTCTTTTTTTTTTTAAGTCTGAAAGACTCATTGTTTAGGGTTTTGAATTGGAATTATAAAATTTTTAATTAAGCCCTTGTTCTTTCAATTTCTTTTAATTTTACCCATGATCATCCTCAAATTTTTAATTTCATGCAATTTCATCCCCCACAAACTCAATCATAAGCCCCCAAGTTATTTGTCTTTTTCTGTTTGGTTTTTTGTTCTAAATTTATGCATCTTCACCCTTAATTGACCAATAAATTTTTAATTTTTTTAATTTGGCCCCTGATTTGGTGAATTTTAGACCTATATTCATGTGCATTTTTTATTTTGATAATTAGTTTTGGATTTTTTCAATAAAGTCCTTAATTATCCATTAAACTTAAATATTTATGCAATTAATATTTTTTTTACCAAATTAATTCATAAAAATTGCAATTCAACTCTCAAACTTTAATTTCTTCTAATTAAAGTCTAAATTGACTTTAAAAAATAATTTTTTTTGCAATTAAGCCCTCAAAACATTAAAATAAACCTTGAAGAATTCTAATTGAGTCCTTAAACATTTAATTTTAATTTTTTTTTCTTAAATTAAATTTTCATTGTTAACAAGGGCTAGTAGAAAATATATTATTAAATTTTTTGATTTTGTATATTTGATTTTTCTCAACAAGTCTTTTGTAATTTTCTATGTATTTTGATATACTTTTCTTGTTGATATATTTTTTTGATTTTCTTTCAGTAATTTTTGAATTTTTTGAATTTTTTTGTTTATACAAGTTCAATATTAAATAACAACAAAAAATAAGAAAATAAATTAAAAAAGCTGCAGCCAATAGGGGAATTAAAGGAATGGTTGAAAACTGCCAAGTAGAATGACGGGCTCTTTCGAGAGTATCCTTCGCTAAACCATCTGCAATCTCATGAACCTCCCTAAACACACGATGTATATATATACTTTTTTTAGTGTTCCTTTTGTATTAATTTTTACTTTCAGAGTCTCTTACTAAATAGCTGACAACTACTATTCAATAAAACTATCAAACTATCGATGATTATATATATAGAACTACTAAAAATACGTTGCATTCTTCAAGGTCGGTACTATGAGCTCCGCTCTTCATCCAAGCAATAGCTGTAGTAGAGTCTGCTTCAAAATTAAATCCAGTTAAAAGTTTACTCTTTACTCATTTATAGACCAGCCAGTCAGCCAGCTGGCTATGGCTCAAGGAAAATATTTTAATCGATAGTCCTTGACTGAGAGTGAAAGGAGTCGCGTCCCTGCAACTAATTAATTGATGGGGGCAGAAATGGGTGGCGCTGTGTCCACCACAGCGCCACCCGGAGCATTATAGACAATACATGCGATGAGACTTGGAAACAATCCACTAGATTCTTTCATGAAGAGCAGCTGTCTGAATCCTTACAGAACCACCACATTACGTGGAGTGAATTCACGACCAGATACATGCACTATATATGGTCATGACTGTTTTGATGACCACCATTATTTATCATCCACAGTGATTAAAATAAAAGATTAATCAAAAGGAAAACAATGGTTCTCGATCAGTAGCTAGTTTTTATTAATTTCTCTAAAAAACGTACTGGTATGTCGGTACTGGAAAGATTAATTAATAAGCAAAGCTCATAGAAAGATTATTTAATAAGCACAGAGCAGTCAACACTGAAGTCTGACCACAAAACAAAAGGATGGAGACACATTCGAAATGAAATATTTTGTTGATTTCATTTAAGCAATCCGATATATTTCATTGATTCTGAAAGGAAAAAAAACAACTACATTCATACTCCTCGACAAATTAACAAAAGTTAAAATTATATATCCCTATTATTGTATGTGCCTTTTCTTCTAAGTTTTTTCATGAATTTTCATAAATAAGAATAAATTATTCCTACAATATATTTATGCTAGTAAAAGAAGTTCAAATAATCATAAAACCGCATCGCTGTCCGTTTGAGTCGTCAAATTGCTTCGCCATGCGCGATCTCATGAAGCACACCTGCACGCCTCAAGTCAATATTCTACGTATAGGTACCATTTTAACTTGTACTACTCTGAAACCAAACCAAGAGTCAGATCCAAACGGACATCACTGTCATCACCTTGTCCATTAAATTTGAAGAACCTGTCCGGTTCAACCTGACTCCACAAAGAACCCTCCACTGTTTCAACAGAAAATATGCTGTCCTCATCTTTTATATAACTACCCCCATTTCCCAAATGACCCAAACATGAATCACGAACCGGTTCAAATCCCCACCCACCCGGGTTAACCCTGCTCGTTGGTTCAGACTGTGAATTGGGCCTCGTGGCAACGGACCGCTTGAACCGGGCCTGGTTCTTGACTTTGGTTAGTTCAGGGGAGTCGTGGTCCCTGGACACGTGGCGTATGTCGTAGGTGTTGAGAGAAGAGATCAAGTGTGGTGCTGGAACCTCAGAAGAGGAAGGCAGTGATATGATGGGTGACCCTTTGAGCACCGCATCAACGGCTGCTTGGCATTGGGCCCAATTACCTGACCAAAGCATGCCTGCCGAACCATAGACCGGATTCACTATCCGGCCACACGCCTCATATAGCAATGACCTAAATATAGCTGCATGCAAAGCCAATAACAAAATCAAGCCTAAAATTTGCTAGAAAATATGTATACAAAATCAGATCGAATAGTAATTTATACCTGGGCGGAGTTTTGGGGGGCCGGCTTCAATGAGGTTGACGAGGCCAGCACGACCATAGAACTTGGCCAAGAATAAAGTGGCATTGGCTTGAGAATCAGGAGTTTTTATCCACTGAAGGCAAGGTCTAATGGTGCAGTTATCACTGCAACCTTTACGGAGGACCCTGCAGCCATTGCAGCTCATTCTCATGGTTATTGATGTGTCTGATTTACAGAGAGGAGGGGTTTATTGTACCGAGATGGGGAGAGAGGGATGCGTAAGGAAGGGATGTAGTGGAGTATTTAAGGGCTAAGGGTTGGTGGGATGCAAAAGACGCAGCGGTTTCCGAAGGAGTGGTGTTTTGGGAGTAAAATAGATACGCTGAAAACCAGGGGTTTTGTTCCTAGTCTTTTCTTGTTTAGGAAGGGTGATTTCCTTGAAAAAGCCTCTGATTCTCCAGTCTTTTTCCTTGGTTAGTATTTTGCCCTACATGCATAAACTTTATTACAGATATACCACGGTACACTTCAGCATTTAAATTCATGGAAAGCACAATATTCAATCACTCCGTAAAAAAAATAAATTATTAATTAATGAGTGTTTTCACCCACCGGAGAATAAAAAGATGATACAAATTCTTCTTTAAATATTGGAGCTGACTCCCACTATATATTTTTATACTAAAAAAAAAAGCTTTAATAGACAAATATAAAATAATTTTAACTTTCAAAATTTTCTATATTTAGGTTATTTTTGGTAGTGTGGTGGTTGGTAAATTTTAATTGAACCATGAACATTTGTGTTCGATTATGATTGAAACTGTGTTTTATTTTGGTGGGATTCACTAAGAATTGAGGTTGAATCTCAGCTTAAAAGAAAAGCAAGACAAATCAGCTGCAAGCTTCTCACCTCATCTTTTAAATCCATCGACAAAAACACATACAGAGAAGATAGGAAAGAAAAACATTGTTGGAATAACAAACTTCCAAAATAACCCTTTTTTCTTATAGAACCTTGCAATGGTTCATCACCTCAATAATTCGTCATCTTAAAATCCATTTACAAAAATATATTGCAATGGTATTTTGACTGGATCATCTCTCTCCCGAAAATTCCATAGCTCCGTCTTCTCCAACCGTCTCCTCTCCTCTCTTGTCAAAATTAATTTTCCTTTTGTTTTTTTTTCCTGCCTTATAGATCTATTTAAAAAGATATTTTGATTTAGTGATGTTTATTGCTTACATAGTAAACATTTCTTTTTTTCTTTTTTATTCTTTAAAATTAAAATTTGATCTGACATCTTTTTATTTTGTCATTGCATAATAAAAAAAGAATTAAACTATAATTTTTTTTGTTGTTTTTTACAGTGTTATATTTATTATTGCAGAATCTATCTACAGATTTGTGTTAGTTTTGAAGATACAACAACAAGAGGACCCTGAAAACTGGTCTAGAAATAAGAAGAGAAGGTGTTGTGAAGTAGATAATATGTTGTTTCTTTCTTTACATATCTTTAACTAAAAACTTTTTTAATTACATAAAAATTAAAATTTAGGTGTTATTAATTATTCTTATTTATAATATAATATTACAAACTTTGGATGCTGTGAAGTAGGTTAATTAATCATGTGCACTACTAGGTTTTCATGTCGACAATATACATGCCTTTTCCTCTTAAATCTTATTAAAAATAAATTATTCATACTTAAAAGCTAAGGAATTTGAATACTCAAGGATATGTCCTAATGTATCTTAGAATGACAAGATTTATTTTATGGTATGTACTTTGTCATCTTTAATAAAGGATATGAAAGAAATGAGTTTAATTATGCACCACCAACTCCCTCTACTCGTCTTAGCACTCTACTTTTTGTCTTTCATCAATTTGCTTTGTTTTCATAAGTGATTTAATAAATAATATGGTTTATGATTTACCTTATAAAAAATTAGAATATTGAGATTTTGTTTTGCCTTTTTAAAAGGGCAATTTCATCATCGTTTTTGGAATAATTATTTTTTAAACATAAATTGAAATAATTAATTTTGTAAGGTATAAATAACTGGAGAGTATAATATTTAAGATTTTTTATTATTATTTCTCATAACGACTTTAAGCAAGTTTAAAATTGACACAAATGAATTGTATGATTTTGTGCAACTTCTTGTTTCTAACTTAGCTTTATTTTGTATAATAATAAAGTCATGAGTCAATGAAATTTTAAATAAACAACAAAAAAGAGGTTGGATCTTAAGACCTATTGGAAAAAAAAGGAAAAACATAATTTATAGAAGAATCGTGGTGATACAACTGATATCATATATGTGTGAGTTTGCATATCAACCAAAAATTGAATTTTATTTATCATAAAAAAAATATACTAACACAGAATATAATAAATTGTTTATAGTTTTTATATGCAGTTCATATATATACGGGCAGTATGAGAATGAAATGCTCACAATACATGTGTATTTTATAGGGTTGCTGGCAATAGTAATATAAAATTTTCAAGACTACTGGAAGGTAGTTATATGGTAGAAATTGAATGCTAATATAAGTATAATAATTTACTTTTTTATTTACTAATATTATAACAAATTTAAAATGTTGTTTGAAATTATGGATAAATACTATTTAGTTGATGCTGGATATTCAAATAAGTATTAGTAATTACATACATATAAAGGTGAGATATATTACTTACAAGATTTTAGACGTCGTGAACAACCAAGAAATCAGGAAAATATATTTAATTATACACACTCAACACTAATTAATGTAATAGATTGTTCTTTTAGAGTTTTGAAAAACAAGATGAATAATTTTACAAAATATGCATGTTTATCCACACAAAGAGCAAGTTTAGATTGCAGTGGCATTAATTACACTATATAATTATATTAAAAAAATATCATATGATAATATATTATTTACAGAATTTGATCACATTTTTAACTAACGTTGTTGTATGCTTAAAAATACATAGATACCAAAGGCCTTTCTAGATGAATTTTGTACGTGATAAAACTGTAAATAGTTTAATGAAACAATTAAAAAAACTCTTTCATGATGTATTATTTATTTTACAATGTAATAATAATTAAATCTACAATATTATATTTAAAAACTATCAATATTAATATATGTATTTTATAGTCATTTTATTACCAAGATTTAATTTGAAAAATATTTTTAATCAAATATATTAAAATATTTTTTATTTAATTTTAATTTTAACTAAATATGTATTTTATCAAACAAACCTTAAATAAAAATATATATTTTTAAATTACAATAACAAAATATATCACAGTGCCAAACACACAGTTAACTTTCGTTCCACTTCTCAGTTCCATTTTGTAGAGAAGGCTCAAGTTTGAGTACAAAGACGAATGGAGGAAGCAGACATGGGCGGAGAAGACGCAAAAATTGGAACGAGGCACGTGTTGAGCACAAGCTCGGACATAATAATTCGTGCGGATCGCCCCGTATTATTATTTGTTTAAAAGAAATTATGGCTGCTTGCAAACTCAAACGCTCCCCGGTTTTCAGGGGTCCGTACATGGAAGCATACTATAAAACCTCCTTTTTGCCCTTTAGATAGAAAAAAAAAAGGTTTTGTGCTGGTACTGTGGGCGCCCTGTGCGAGACGCCAGTGGTTTCGAGAATTCCATGTTTGTCCTTGCCATGCTTTGAGAGAGATGGGATTTATGGACTCGGATCATATGATCCACTCGATCTTTTTTTATTTAGTTTCATTTATGTTCTGAAAGTCATATGTTATTTAATGATGGAATCTTTGTGTTCAATCCATCTAGAAAATTTAGACTTTTTTCACTTTAGAAAAATAATTTTTTCTTCTTCGTTTGTTAATTTTTTTTTTTTTATTTTCAGTTGCGTCTGAACTTCCATGGACAATGACATAAAAAGTTAAGCATTCGAAATGATGAATAAAATGCCATTGCCGACACATTGAGATTTTTGCTACCTTGAATATCTTGGGGACGTTTGATGATATCTTTATGTTGCCACCTTAACAAAACGAGGAAGAAGGCTTAGGGTTGTTTGTGCGAATAAATTATAATTAGAAAATGGTTGGGTCAATAAATATTTTTAAACATGCGTGGATAATTCCACTTCCATTAGACTTAATTAATGATCAGAGTGCATTGACCAGAAAATATTTTACTGGATGGTTTTTTTTCCCCTTTTTTCCAAAAGATTGAAATCCTCGAACCTGAATCTCTATGAGCAACTCTGTAAGGGAATATATGTCAATTGGTGCACTCATCAAGGAATGAAAGATATATATCTTGTAATCTCTATGAGAATTTTTTTTAGAAAAAAGCCTTGAAAAACTACAAAACAAAGACACACAAGAAACAAAGCGTTAAATTAAAGTACTCTTAATTATGAGTTATGAAATTTTCTTATTATTAGTTTCTTCAAACTTTGATCTAATCGGCCAGACAATATGCATGCGACATTGATTAATAATAGATGACAATGTTCTAAAAACGAAAGAACAAATAGCTGGAACCAAGACTTTCTTGTCTGATAATTAACCAAAAGAACTACAGAAGAAGTTGGAAATTGAAGTGCATACATGTATAAAAATAATCGAGTCACTTGATACATTTGTTGATCAAGCACCAATGGGGTGGTTGGTCAGTGCTTTTAATGAAATAGATGGATAGATGAGGTTCTGAGTGTATACAATTAGAGGCAACTCTACATGATCTAGGTGATATTTCGAAAGTGACAGTTGATAGCGCTTGAAACTGCAATGCGCATGGAAGAAAACATCCTTAACTTTTGTTTACAATACAGCAGATATGGAAAAAATAAAATCGAACCAAATCCATCGACCCAAAGTTAGTATATTTGATCTGGTCACGTCAAATGAGTAGTTGCAAAATCACAGAGCACCATTTTCGGAATTCTCCTCCTTTGCATTGCTAGCTGTCATGTCTGATGTTTTAAAGTTGTATGTTGGATATTTATAGCAGTATGTTTCATTTGGCTTATGGTTTTCATGGTGGTTGCTTTGGTGGGTGGAGATATATGCCTTGTTGTGCTTTTTGTGATGCGTGCATGGTGCAGGATTAGTCCGTTGATGCTACAAAAGAGATTCGAAATTTTAGATTAAAAAAAAAAAGAAACTTTAGAAAAAGAAAAGGAACATTTGCAAAGATCAACGGTGCTATTTGCAAAGAAAGTTACAGCCAGATTTTTTATTTTGTAAATTTTACAATGTATTTGCATGAGCTTTGCAACCATTCTTTTCAATTGCAACATTAAGATTTCATTGCAAATCGGTTGGTATTAATTTCTAAGTGATTAGCAAACTTATCTAGCTCGTGTAAATTATTTAGCGAGAGAAATTACATTGCACAAGAGGGGTTGGTGTTATGTGTGTGGACACAAATGGACGGTGACATTGCACAAGAGGGGTTGGTGTTATGTGTGTGGACACAAATGGACGGTGACAGCCATGGTAGGTGGCAGCCATGTTTGGTGGCAGCCATGGTTGGTGGCAGTCATGGTTGAAATTATAGTCAAATGGTAGGTGCCTAACTTGCCCACCATTGTTGAACAATCATCTCCCTCCTCAGCTATAAATAGAAGATGTATTGATAGCTGAGACAGATCACGAGATAGAGAGAAACACAGAGAGAGAGCTAAGGGTGAGAGTTGAGTTGAGTAGAGAAGTTTTCTCCTCCTCCTTGTTTTGTTGTTTGTATTGCTTTTGAGCTTGATTAATACAAACCAGTAGCTCCGTGGAGTAGGCAAGTTGCCGAACCATGTAAATTTGTGTGTGTTTGAATGTTTGGATCTCCTAACAACTGGTATCAGAGCTTGTTCTTGAAAGTTCTTGAAAAAGAGGGTGTTTGATCCAAACTCAAAAATCAAAGTTCTCAAAACGTGTTTTTGAACATACCATCGTGAAGAGGACGATGAGAGGAATCCACTGGTGAAAACCCGGCGAATATCCGACGTCTTGCATGCCCGCACGCGCCTGCACGCGCCGTCATCATCACTGCCCACGCGCACAGACGCGCCCAACGCGCGTCACGCGTCTTCCTCGCTGTTTCCTGCAAATTGACACTACCACGTCATCAGCCACGTCATCCATCCGGCACAGTCAGCAGTCGCGCATCCTGCCACATCCGCAGTCTGACCGGTCAACCCGCCACGTCATTCGCCAGGTCATCGGACACGTCAATGATGCCACGTCAGCAGAAAATCTCCGCGGGTCTGCCACGTCAGATTAGGTGGATCCCACATTGCCTACATGTCTGACACGTCAGCTTGCCACGTCAGCATAACTGGGTTTTGATCCAGTGTGGCGCAGAGACTATTCCTCCTGCCACGTGGCTTCATCTGCAGCGTCCAGTTATCTCAATTTTTGATTGCTTAAATCGGAGCCATCCGAAGTCCGATTTGGGTGATTTCAGTGTCGTTTCCAGCATTTTTGGCCATTCCGGAACATCTGTAAGGTCAGAGTTTTGAGATTCAAATCCGAGAAAGAGTAAAAATGGCTGATGAAATAAAGGCTGGAGGTATTGAAAAATTTGATGGAACTGATTTTGGATATTGGAAAATGCAAATTGAAGATTATCTATATGGGAAGAAACTTCATCTTCCTCTGTTGGGGAGCAAGCCAGAAAACATGTCAGAAGAAGATTGGCAAATACTTGATAGACAAGTCTTGGGCATTATCCGGCTATCATTGTCAAGAAGAGTTGCTCATAATGTTACAAAAGAGAAATCCACAGCAAGATTGATGGAAGCCTTGTCTGGGATGTATGAGAAGCCATCAGCAAATAACAAAGTGCACTTGATGAAGAAGCTGTTCAACCTGAAGATGACAGAAAGCACCTCTGTTACACAGCATCTTAATAATTTCAACACCATCACAAATCAATTGTCATCCGTTGAAATTGAGTTTGATGATGAGATCCGAGCACTTATTTTGCTAGCTTCACTTCCAAGCAGTTGAGAAGGTATGAGAACAGCCGTAAGCAACTCAGCTGGAAAATCCAAATTAAAGTATGATGATATCCGAGACCTGATTTTAGCTGAAGAAGTACGAAGAAAAGACTCGGGTGAAAGCTCAAGTTCAGGTTCAGCTTTCAACATCAACACTCGAGGAAGGAGACAAGACAGAGGCTTATCTAGAGGTAGATCAAAATCCAGGTACAGAAGCAAAAGCAAGTTTGGACCCAGGAAACAGGTTGAATGTTGGAATTGTGGCAAACCTGGCCATTTTATGAGGAGTTGCATAAAACCAAAGAAACCTGAAGCTGATTCTGTAAATGCCACTACAAACGAGGTACAAGATGCTTTGATCCTTGCTGTACATAGTCCTATTGATGACTGGGTTCTTGATTCTGGAGCTTCATTTCACTGTACTCCACACCATGAAATGATGCAAAATTACACTGCTGAAAATTATGGGGTAGTCTATCTGGCCGATGGACAAATCCCACATCTTTCAACCATTTCCAAACTATAAACTAAATCTTTCTTTTACTTAACCACTACAATCAGGAACAGGGCCAGAAAAAAAAATTAAAAAGGCCAACATTTCAGTTATTTTACTATTTAGGCTAAAACTATAAATCTTATCAAGGGAGGGACTAGAAAAACAATTTCCTTCTATGGTCAGCCCCTTGTCTCCGCCACTAACTACAATTAAAAACTTTAATTATCAAACTATTTTTATTTCAATCCCTAATCACTAAAACTTATGAACTACCTCCTAAACTACCATCATCCTCTAACACATGTCCATTATTAAAAGTGATGCACGTGCATGATATTGTTGAGGATTCCAGACCAGTAATGTACTGATAGTTGTTCATTGAAGGCTGAGTATACTAACATAATATTTAATATGGTTAAGCAAACTACCTACATCTATTAGAGAAGTCCATATTATTAGAGATAAATAAAGAAAGGGTTATAACATACATGGAGAAAGAGGGATCACTTCACTTAACTCTACTTTCATTGTTCTCACACACACTGTTGCATAAAGATTTGTTTTGTATCCTTCCTCTATCTCTAATAATATCAACTTTTCCATGGATATAGACGATTTGTCGAACCGCATTAAATATTATATCAATGTGTTAAGCCTCCTATAAGCAAATATCAGTATATCATCGATTCGAATCCCCAACAATACTCACGTATCGTTGTAGCCTTTTGATAATGGTATATCATCGATTCGAATCCCCAACAATACTCATGTATCGTTGTAGCCTTTTGATAATGGTCTCCCTCCTTAGAGTAGGACCATAGATGTTGTATGATTGTTGCACACTAATGACAACAATCCTAATAGATATACTTGCAGTTCTCTTTGAGTGATAAATTTATTTTCCATTATATTAATGATTGGTATTGTGAGTTAATATATATAAATTTGATAAGGAATATTCTACCGAACAGTATAATTAGCTTTGAGTTGAGATTGTTCATTAACAATAGTTACTTCGTAATTTTATGTAGATAACATCTGAGATAGAACTGGAAGAACCTTATAAAGCAGCCATGAAGGAAGAGTGGCAACGCATGATTGACTACTATCAGAAACATTTCAAAAAAATCCGTTGCCCAGTTACGGCCTCTAAGGATAATGTACTTCATCTAGCTGTAATCAGCAAAAAAGTGCAACCACTTAAAGATTTACTTGAAATCATGAAGCAAAGATCTTTACCTGAGGCATTTCTCAAGAGAAGAAACCAATTTGGAAATACGGCTCTTCACGAGGCAACCATCTATGGCAATTTTGAGGCTGTAAGGCTCTTGGTAGAACGTTGTGCAGACCTGCTTTCCATTGCAAACAACTACGGTGAAACCCCATTGTTTACAGCTGCTGGATTTGCTGAGACAGAAATAGTGCAGTTTTTAATCCATTCCAAACCAGAACAATGCGTGGATGATAATGGCCTGTTATTAATTCACCGCAAGAGAAAGGAAGATGAACTGTCCATCCTTAGCGCTGCTATCTTAGGGCGAAAATTTGGTAAAAATTTCTCTCTTTTTGAGCTCTCAAATTTTAAAAGTACACATATTTAAGATATTGTATAATTTCTGTCTTCCTAATTTCATAAATGCAGAAACAGCTTTTCTGTTGCTACAACTGGATAAATCGCTCGCCAGCTTGAAGGACAAAAATCAAATATCTCCTCTTCAACTTCTAGCCGAAATGCCAACTGCATTTGAGAGTGGATTTCCCATGGGCATATGTAAAAGACTCATCTACTGCTGTATGCCTACTCCAACCACATTATTACACCTTACAATATTGCCTACATATTTCTTGTCAGTATACCATGGACACACGCACACACTTATATGTAATAATTTCAACTCTAAATTATGTTGCAGGCCTTCCTGTTCCGAGTCCCTTCGAGGTAAAATCAAAGGTAGAAAGTTGGTGCCAGACAAGGAATACGGTGGGAGATCCTGAGAGCGGTCAGGGTAGGAACTCAGGAGATCTGGGGAGCAGCTCGGAGAGGAATCAAAGAGGCGGCCTGCTAAACTATTTAAAGATCCTAATTAAAGGTATTATTGAGAATTTTAAATTTCATGGCATAGTTCGAATATAACTGAGTCCTAGTTTTTTTTTTTAGTGGTCACGGGCTACACAAGCAGAGTAGTTCTCCTCCTCCATTTTTAACACCAATTGTCACTTAAAAAGGTGTATTAGTGAATTAATATAAAATTATTTTTAAGATAACAGTTCAAACTTTTGCTGACATAATCTTTATACTTGAAAGAAATGTGATTCGATGTTATAAAGTGGTTTTGGTTCACATCCTAGTTTTAGATGCTTACTCAAATAATCCTTGTGAATCATTAGAGACAGAGCCTCTTCCTCAAAGAAAAAAAAAGAAAAACTATGTGTCACACTTTTATAGTGGCACGACTTAGATGCATTTCTTCTACCATCCGATTTCTTCTTTTGTTGCTGTTTTGTTTTCTATATGATAATTTAACATGTCTCTATTTTTTCACCTTTTACTATCATTAACTCTCTCTTTTTTTCATTCTTCTACTATCATTATTAACATTTCTTTCCATTTCATAAAAATGTCTAGCTCTCATCAATGTTTAATTTCATTCCCTTTCGCACGAGCATGATGTAGGATGTTGGCTAGAAAGAATCTGGAACGAGAAGAAAAGGCATGTATTTGCTTTGAGATTCGCCAAAAGCCTAACAGAGCAAGATGAGTCATTGAAAGGTGTCACCATAACAGTGGAAGAACAAAATAAAGAAGAAAATGAAGAAAAAGAAGAGCGAGAAATGCGTGGGAAAAAAAATAATAAAGGAGAAAATACTTCTGCTAAATACACTGAAAGAGCACAAACTTCTGCAAAAAAAATAATAAAGGAGAAAATACTTCTACAAAAGACACTGAAAGAGCTTCTGTATCGATATTGTCATCGTTAACTGCTAAAAAGGAGATCCCATTGTTTACTGCAACCAGAAGGGGAATAGAAGAGATTGTAGGACTGATAATAAAACTCCATCCTTATGCTATGGACCAGCGCGATGAAATGAATCGGAGCATTTTGGATGTGGCCATCATGTATCGCCAGAAAAAGATCTTCGATATTGTGAAGGAACAGAAGATACCAATGGCTAGAATGCGTCGATTTCTTGATTATAGCGGAAACAAATTGTTGCACCATGTTGCAGATATGAAGAAAAACAGTGGAGTAACCAAGCCTGGGCCTGCACTCCAACTTCAGGAGGAGTTGAAATGGTTTGAGGTGAACCCTTTTCATCCCTTTATCTCTACTTGATACAAGTTATAAGAGCACCAATCCTACTAAACATTTGTTTCAACCAAGTTATCCAATCCAATTAAGGTTTTACAGAAACCGTTAAACTGTAAAAAGATTCCTTTTTAATGCTAATGATAGGTAGACATGCCACCTCGCCAAGACGCGAGTTATAAAACTCGAACTTAATTAAGACATCAGGCTGAACTAATTCTCCTAACCAACTACTTAAGGAAAAACTTTAATATTATTCACAAATAAAAACTATCTGCGCTCTAGTAATAACATTTCTGTAATTCGTAGTTTTATTTAGCACTAACAATCATATTTATCTCCCAATTATTGCAGCGAGTGCAAGACGTAATCCCTTCTTATTATGTCCCGCTTCTGAACAAAGATGGAAAGACTGCAAAAGAGTGCTTCGAAATAGCGCACGAGGAGCAACTGAACAAGGCACAAATATGGATTAAGGAAACATCACAGTCTTGTTCCACAGTAGCTGCACTTGTTGCAACTGTTGTCTTTGCTGCTGCCTATACTGTGCCCGGAGGTTCTGATGAAAATGGCAAGCCCATCTTCATCAACTCTCCCTATTTTCTGATTTTCACTGTCTCTGATGTTGTCTCCTTAGCAAGCTCCTTGACTTCGCTTGTGGTGTTTCTCTCTTTGTTGACCTCTCCATTTGAGCTACAAGAATTCCACATCTCTCTTCCTCGAAAACTTATTGTTGGCTTCTCCTTCCTCTTCTTTTCTGTGTTAACGACCATGCTATCCTTTGGCGCAACAATTTTGATACTCATTCAGACAGAGAGGAGGTTGACAACATTACTCCTTTCCATTGCTTCATTCCTTCCTGTCTTAAT